CGCTGGGGACTCAGAGGGCATAGGCTGAGTCTCCCAAGAAAAAGAGGGGAAAATTTACAGACACAATTGGTCATTGTGTGGCTGGGTAGATGAACTGCAAGAGTCCAGGAAAAACATGGAGATGTGGCCTTGGAAAGCATTGCAGTACCAGCAGCAACAGGTGAGCTGATGGAAAGGAAGCTGGTTTCAGAGTCTCAAGTTCGGAGGGGTGGATATTTATACCTCAAGGCATCCTGTAATGTAACATGTCCCACCCAAGAAAAGCTGGCAGGAACCCAGGGGAGATGGTGGCCAAACCCCATATGCTTAATGGGGTTAACTGCAGTAACTTGTGTTATACAATGGATCATAAACGATGTAACTGAAAAGATGCTTGGCTACACAGACATGGATGGACTCAAAGGGAAAAAGTCCTGGGCCACAGGTGGTCCTGTAATTGTGGAAAAATAGCTCAGTGGCTTGAAAAATGGTGTCCGTTGCCATGTGTGTCTGAAAACTCATTAAGGAATATAGAGAGCCTAGAAAAAAAAGAAAAACTACATATGAACTAGGAATAGAAGGTCGTCATTTTTTTTAGCGTTTTATCAAAATTTTGAGATTTCCAGACAATATAATTTGATGACATTTATATCTCTCTCCCAATTCACTCCTCCATACACCCCCGCCAATACACATAATTTTACAGTGTATTCTCACTGGGTAGTAAAGCTTATAGAGTCTAACTTGAATCCCCAAATGTTCTCCAGCATGGGCTCATCCACTCGAGCTTTCAACATTGTTGTGAGTTCATTAAGAGTTACTGGTCAGCTGTCTGGAGAACTCTGCCGCCTTCATAGTCATCTACCACCTTTGGCTCTTACAATCTTTCCAACTCCTCTCTGCAATCATTCCCAAGTCCTGCACTCCAGAATCCTTGCAGAGGCACCGAACGCAGTGATAAGTGGTCTGAAGGCCACTCCTCCCCACACATTAGAAAGGTGTAAGTTTCCAGGTCAACTACCAGCTGCTTCTTAAGGAAACTTCTCTGGTGAGAGTTGGAAGATGGATTAATCTTCAATGGTGGATGAGGACTGACAAAGCACAGCTCATTCTGATCATCCCTCCTGGGACTGGGAGTCCATATTATTATGGGGGTACCACAGTTACATTTCACAGAAGGGGTCCATTCCTCCTGATCACTGTTGGGGAACTATAGGTCCAGCTTACAGGAGTGGAACCACAGCTCCAGTTCACAGGGGAAGATCACAGCTTCAGCCCACAGGAGAGGACCACAACTTCCTCTCACAGAAGGGAACCACAACTCTAGCTCACAGGAGAGGACCACAGCTCCAGAACACCGGGTTGGGGGAAACCATGGCTCCAGCTCACTGTATGCGACCACAGCTCCAAGTTACAGGAGACCTTAGCTCAAACTCATGGGAAGGGACCCTGACCTCAGCTCAGAAGCAGGGACCATGGTTCTAGTTTTCTTTCTTTCCTTAAGTTCTGAGGCTCTAAGGCTTTCACACAGTGTTTCTCCCTGCATGTACATAAGTACACTCATGTCTGGAAATGCCCATGGAAGTCGGAATTGGGCACCAAATTTCCAAGAACAAAGCAGCTTCATTTGATTGGCCCAAAACATTGCTCCTCTGGTTAAAATCTTTCAGATATAATTCTCTGGATAGAGGCAATGGGCCCAAGATGGCTGTGCTCCTGGTACCTCTAACTTACATACTACTGACAATCTGAAATTGATTTCTGAAATAAGTGTAAAGCCATGTAACCATGCAGCAAATTTCTCTGAGTACTAGACAAACCTCCAAGAGGCCATAGGACCTAATCCTCTTGTTTCTTGATAGAGATGAGGTATTCCTCAGGCCACTATGCTTGTGCCATTCATTTATGTAGTACGTTACTGTCAATATCAACACAGAATAAAGTTGGACCACACAGCCACAGCTGAGAATGTTTCTTCTCTAAGAAAACCCTTGAGCATGATGGGTGTGACTGAAGAGGATTACTCAGTGTCTACAAGGACACAATGGCTGATGTAAAGGTTCATGTAACTGTGAAGCTTAGGGTTGCTTCTAATTAACATGATTATGCTCACATTGCCCATTTAAGTTGACAGAATACACTCCTACAAACACAACTAATAAAATGACACAGATAGTAGCATCTTCTGTGAGCTACCACACACTGGTAGGTCTTAACATTTTAAGTAATTGACATTCATATACTACCCTGTCAGCTTGGATATGAGGATCACTATGGCAGGAGTACAATATCTAGATGGAAATGTCTTGAACACTGGAGCCCTACAGGCCTGAGACAGGTTCTGGCTTTGTCACTGGCAACCTATGGAACCTAAACAACTGACACACTACACACCACAGAATGCCCACCATGCCTCTATTCACTAAAAAGATCAATCTCTCATAGGAAATTTTGTTTTGAATAGATGAGCTGCATAATTGATCACAGAAGTCAAAGAATGTGGAACAATGAGTTAATGCCTTTAAGCAGTCAACCTCTAATTGTGATATAAAAATGAGACTAAATATCTCTGTGCCAACAGACAAGGAAAGTAGTGATTTGTCAAAGTCTGTGCCTCAACAATAAGGAAGAATGGCAGAAAAGTCCATATAAATGAAGCCTATGATCATGAGATTGGTGTTATATGGGATATAATTCATTGAGTACCATACTTGTTCATTAAAATTCCACTGAAAATTCATCAGGACTATGAAAATAACACTAATGCTTATATAAATATATGGAACTGAAATAGTTTCATTATTTTTCCATGCATTAAATTTATAGACAGACACTTTTCATGGATTGCTAAAGTCATTCTATTTTTATTGGAACTCTCATGAGAAAATAAGTGTAAAGTATCATGAAGTGGTTTTAACTCAAAATTAAAAAGTTTTCTGGAAATAAAGTTGGGGTTTTTGGGGAAAATAAAGTTGTTTTACATGCTTCTCTAGATGATCATACATAAATCTGTATCAATACATCAATTTATAAGTAATCAGAAATTCACATGCAAGTGGAGTAGATAGCACTAAGACTGTTCATTTTGATACTGTTCCTTCAAATGGTCACCTTGCCAACTTTTGAATGGTGGCACAGCCAAGATGCAGAAGAATCACATCAGCTCAGCGATGTTCATGCCCCTGTCTACAACCACAGGAATTTCCTACTCAGCCAAATTTTCACTCTAATTTCTGACAGCTCATCCCTTTTTCATTTCATCATTTTATCATTTCAAAAATTTTATGATTATGGAACAACCCTCTCTGTAGGTCTCTTGTTATTTCCCCAGGAATCTACAGTGCTGAGGATAGACAAAGGCTCCTATTTCTCTTTAATTAACCTTTACAGGTTACATTGTTTACTATTTCGCTTTGTATATATCGACACCATATTTGTCTAAGAGAATTTGTTTAACGAAACATAGTTAAATCATTTATAAAAATCTATAGTCTGTTGAACTCAAAATCAATGATGGGTAAAAAAATACTAAATTTATAACATTCTGTGTTAGAAAAACTTGCACTGGAGGGAAAGTACATGGACTGGGAAACAAACTTTTACTTGCACTGAAGAGAACAGGACTGGAAAGATTGCTCATTGTTAAAAGACCTTCTGGCTAAACCTAAAAATGTGAAATGAATCCCTAAAACCCATGTAAAAGGATGGATGTGATAGAGCACATCTGCACCCATTACTCCTATGGCCGGATGGAGGCAGAGACTGGAGAACCCCCTGCAAGTTCTGGGTCAGCTCACTTGGAAGATGCAGGGGAACAGAAATGAGAGAAACTGTGCCTCAAATCAGGCAGGGAGAGAACAGTCTCCTAAAAAGTTATTCTCTGACCACTACACCTGCTTGGTTGCATCCACATCTCAGCAATCACACATCAAATACAAACACTAATAAAAGAAAAACAAAGTAAACAACAACAAACAGGTAAATTATAAATGTTAGAACCCTTCCTTTCTTTTCATGATTAAGAGTGGAGAAAGTGTCCTTCAGAATGATTTTTCCCTTTACATATTAACTGTTTTCTGGCTACTTTCAAGAACTTTCTCTCTTTGATTTCAAAGTTTAATTATGATGCACCTTGGTCTGCATTTCTTTGGGTTTTCACAAACAAAGGCTTTATAAATCTTCCTGAATCTGAGACTAAGGTGACATGGAAATTCATGTTAGTATTCACATCTCTTTATTCATTCAGTTTGTGAAAGATGTTATTAGCTGTGACTCCTGCTGTCCAGTGAATCCCTAGAGAGTCACTGTCCATTTCTTTTACTGATATTTGGAAGACTAATGATTGATTAGGGAATTTTTTGATCGATGCCATCAAACCTTTGCCAGCTAATTCAAGATCACATTCATTTTATAGATGCCGTCATTTTACATTCAGTTTGTGATTTCTTTTGCTCTTGCTTTGGTTGTTTGTACTGACAGCGGAGAAATTTTGGAGATCATATTGCAAAATACTGGGTCAAATTCTTTCCTTTTTTAGCAGATAGTCATCCTTTTGAGATGCTGCTACAAGTGACAGACAAGTGTCTGTGCTCAGCTTCTCCTTGAGCTCCACTGACACAAGTCTGCCAAAAGTGTGTGTGACTCATGCTGCCTCCTTCCAGAGGGTGATGTGGAAATTCAGCATCCTCAGCCCTCTAAACTCCTTCCTGGAGAAGATTCCTGTCTTGTGTGAATCCCTGTCTGAGGAACTTCTGCTCACTCTTGGGGTAAAGTGCCCACAGAGAAGGGGGAAATGAAAAACTATTTCACACTGATTTGTTGCAGGTAAGGGTGGAGTCTCACCTCCCCACAGGGCCTTATCACAAGGGAGGGGCAAATTACTGACTAGTGCCACAATGCACCATCTCACCAGGTCTAGGACTGCCAGTTGACAATGGAAGCTCATTTCACCAGCAGAGCTGTCTGTCCATAAAGAAGGGTATTGGGGTGAAATCAGTCCCTCCCTTGTGCCTGTGAAAGTTGTGGAAATGGAAGGCTACTAGACTTTCATTAATATTTTTCTGAACTGTGGCAAGTATGCCGCGTAGTTTCAATTCTTCTAAGACAATTCTTTCCCTCATTTTCTCCTCAGGAAGCACAAGCTTTTCTTAGGGCGTTGTTGGCTATGTCTTTTGAAGGTCCTGGGTTAGACACTCTGCATTATCCTCTTATTCTGTGAAATCAAAAGATATCCAAGACTCACTGTGGTCTTCTGCTCCTCACATCCAGAGCTTATGAAGCAGTGCTCCTCCTTTACCTTTCCAAAACCTGCTATTCTTTTGTTTTATGTTACATCAATTATTTATTTTAAATAATAAGCACCAAAAGAGATATTCTTTCTTTATACATTTTGTTTTGAGAAGTCTAATACAAACTGGGATGCTGTTTTCCAAGGTTTAAGTTTCCACAATTGTTAGAGAAAGAGTTTACTGAATATGTGTTAGAAACAAAGTCCCCTAGTGGTGGATAGCTCTCAACCAGCTTGCCTTTCTATGAGTGTGTGCATTGAAGGATGACAGGAATTATTTTTCTCATTGTTGGGACACAGTATTTGACTAACATAACTAAGGATGGGAAGATTTATTTGGTATAAAACATTGAAGGTTCAGTCCATCATGACAGGGAGCATGATGGTGGGAGTGCAGGCGCCTGGCCACACTGCACAAATAGAAAGCAGGAGACAAATTCTGGTGCTCAGCTCACTTTCTCAGTCTTCTAAAGTCTTATTTCTTATTTGGTGTGTGTGGGTCAGTGCCTCAATATATAATATGTATATGGACTCCACATGTCAGCCTGGTGCCAGCCGAGGTCAAGAGAGGGCATGTGATCCTCTGGAACTGGAGTTATACTTGATCGTGGGCTGCTCTGTGAGTGCTGTGAACTGAGTCCAGGACTTCTGCAAGAGCACCCATTGCTCTTAACATTTGAGCCATATCTCCAGCCCATCACTTTATCATTTTTATTCAGGCCAAAATCCAGCCCAAGAAATGGTGCCACTGTCATTCCACATTTAGATTGAATTTTTTCACCTCAATGAACCTTAAGAAAATCTTCTAAAGGCATGTGCACAGATTTGTGTTATAGGTCATTCTAAGTCATTTGAATGTAGTGTTAACTACCACAGTCATTCTCATCAATTTCTAGGATATAGTAAGAGATGTAGATCTTTGGAAGCTTTAAAATTAAAATAATTTCTTTCAGATTTATGTGCATGGATGATGCAAATGGAGTAATTTTTAGAAAGTATGGGATAGAGGAGGAAGGCCTATATTAGGACTTGTAGTAGGATTGTCCACAGGGGCAGGAAATTTACATGAATAAGCACACATACACACACACACACAAATACATGAACACATTTGTCTTGAGAGATCTTAAGGAATTATCACACGCAATTATCAAACCGATGCAAAGTTGTTAAAGAATGGTGTGTGTGTGTGTGTGTGTGTGTGTGTGTGTGTGTGTGAAAGATAAAGAGAGGGATTCAAAGCCTGAAACAAGGTTGGTATTAGAACACCTTCTCTTCAGACGACCCCAACTGTTAATACCTTTAATTATTGGACAAGAATCCACAAGATATGAAGATCATCTACTTGTTTCAATTAGTATTAAATGTTAGCACATTAAAAATACTATTAAAGCACCTTTGGTGAGACATGGATTTAAAAATCTAGGTACTATGATGAATCAAATTTTTATATCACATAACCATCTTACTGATACTACACATTATAAAACAAAGTGAAAGGAGTCAGATTAAGGAATGATCACTGACAATGATTATGGATAAAAGGAATAAATAAATGTTGGTCTCAGAATTTATAAATTTATTGATCCAATTCACATCTGCAGAGAGGAGAGAAAACTATTCTCATGCTTCTAAGTCAATAAACTGATCAGAGGATGAGAGTACTAACTGAAGGGAAAATGATGCAAGTGGAGAAGAGAAAAGGAGAAATGTGGGAGTTATCAGCACGTAGAGATCATTGAAGAATTTCATGGGAACCAGTGGCTTTGACTTACTGGTAGAGTAAGTGAATCCACCAGAAGTGGGTTCAATCCCCATCAATAATGTGGTTTCTGTCATATTAGATTTTAATATTTTAATATTTTTCTTTCCAATGTTTATTACTATAATCTACAGTACTTTGTAAGTATTACTAAACATAGTACATTTTGTTTTTGTATCAAAAAAATTAGATATTTAAATAAAAGAGTGTGCAGAATATTAGAGTATGTTTAAAATATAATTTTTTAAAAATTCAGGTAAATCTTGGAAATGCTGATTTATTGTCCTTGAATCTCAAATGAATACAACAGGAATTTGAAAAAT